CATTCGATCGGTGCTCGCTTGCTCGCATCTCTCCGCTGTGGGGCCGCTATTCCACCAAGCCAGGAAAATACGCGACTCCACGCGCAGAACATGTCATGCGACTCCGTACGTGTGACGGCGACATCGTTCGACCACTCTGCGCTGGCCCTGCAATTGTGAAGGGCAGCGGGCGAGGTTCGTTTTCGGGTGTGAGACGGTCGAGATCGACACGGCGCTGAAGGCCGAAAACTAAATGTCGTCAAATCTGCGCGCAAATTGCAGGGATGGTGCGAAACGTTCCTGAGAACTCGGCGTCGGAAGGACGCGTCCTGCGGAAGCGAGCTGACGGAGGTACGCCCGATTTCCTGGCTTTGCCCTCGAAATCCAGTCGAAAATGACCTGGATTTCGTTTCCAGGCGGCCCTGTGTGCGGAGAGATTGTGCTGCACCCTCATACATACGTCTACACAGTCGTTTGAGCGCGTCGCGCAATTGCTGAGAATGGGGAAGGCTGGCGGCGGCCCGCGGGTACTCGCATGCGGTGCATTGCGCCGGACTCGGCCATCTCGCCGCCATACGGCGAAAACTCAAACTCGTAGAAATCGCGCGCAAGCGCAGGGGCGCGTGTGAACCGTTCAGGAGCACCCGCCGTCCGAATTCCACGCTCTGCGGCGGCGAACTGACCGAGGTACGTGCGATTCTCTCGCGCCCGTCCTCGAACTCGCCCGAAATTGACCCAAAATCGGCCCGCAGGTGGTGCTGTGTGCGCGGAACGGGTGCTGTGCGCCAGTGCTCGCGACGGCACCGTCGTCCGCGCACGCTCCGCCGTCTCTGGGGCCGCTGGGGACGACGGACGAGGAGTTCCGTCTTGGGCTGGAGGCCGGCCCGCTGCGAGATGGCGACATGCGAAAGTCGTCGAACGCACCCGCGAACGCAGGGGCTGGTGCGCAATGCTCTGGGGAGCACGCCGTTCGAAGGACGCGTCCTGCGGAGGCGGAATGCGGGAGGTACGCGCGATTCGCTGTGTGCGCCCTCGAAATCGGTCGAAAGCGGCATTTTTCGTTTTCTTCGCAGATCGCGTCGAGACGCGCAGAGTGTACGCGGCCGTGCTCGCAGACGTCCGGTGGCCCGTGTCGGAGGGCGCACGGGACTGATCGATCTCCGCGTGAGCGGGTACGGGTCATCCCGTCCTGCCTGCCCCCTGGCCCCCGATCCACTCGACATCGACAATGTACACTACGAAACGACGCAGACAGTGTGCACGAGCTAGGAAGACCAGCTTTCCACCCGCGTCCACGCACCTACAGGTGTTCGCGGTGTACCGAGTGCGGATGCTTTTGCGCGCGTGGTTGTCTCGCGCACGCACCGCGGCCATCATGTGGACGCTCTGGAACGCCCCACGGACTCGATTCGACCGCCAAGAGCTGCGCACTGGCCGTCGTACACGTCGGTTACATCATGAGTGCGCCGCGTCGCAGAGACCTAGGCGGCGCGGAAATTGGTGCGAGCTTGGAAGACCCGGCGCGCACGGTGCCCGGACAGCCCCGATCACTCGTAAGTGCGACACGAACACGCATGCATTTCTGAATATCCTCCAACGAGAACTCCCGTTGTGTTGGTGTATTTGCTGGGATGGCGCACGCACAGCGGCAGTGCTTTGCGGCGTTGCCATGTGAGCTGAAATTCATGGCATCTGCATGGTACATCCTGAAGTAGACACCCCAGTCTGCTTGAAATGTTCCTGTGTGTATGCTCGAGTTGGAAGCGAGGGCTCTGGGTCCCTAATAATGTCTTGGAAGCCCTCGCTTGCAGGGGGAACTTAGGTAAAACATGATTGCATCCATGTATAGCTCACAGTGCACCCGCCCGTCCGCATCACAATGATTTGCACAAGTAGATCGCCACACTGGGGTTTGATATCTCCTGGCGGAGCTCATTCACACAAGCTCAGGCGCGGGGCACATACATGTCTACGCAGACTTGCAGAGCAAGCATGTCTTCAAATTGACATGCCCACGGCCGCCTCATTCACATGCAAGTGGCAATACATAATTGACACAAAATGGGCGCTGGCTGGCCGCAGAGGCGGGTAGCACAGGGCGGGAAGGCAGCTGGTAGCGACGTGAATGGAGACGGGCAGATCACAGAATGCTAGAGCTCAATCTGTAGATGTCATACTGCCGATACTCGCGAGATGTTCGAGCAACTAGACGCACCGGCCGAGGTCGGAGTCGGCCCGGGGACGCAATCAAGGAACCGCAGAGCCAATATACACAACGGCAATCGGTAGGCAAAGGCGCAGGTGTCGTGTAAAGAGACTCTGCAAGGACGGCGCAGGGATGCACAGCAGCCGGTCAACATCATCAACATCCCGTGAATTGTACCACGCATACTGGATACTGTCCCTTCTTGCAGAGACGGGCGAGGAGCAACCCCGCTGTGTGCAAGCAGCACCGAGTGGATGGCACTGCACGCTGGGCAGTCCGCAGAATCGTCGCCGTTGGACATACCTGCTTCTGGTTGCCTTTGATTGAGTTCAATTACCATTCGTATGCGAGGAAGCGCACCGCATCTTCCCCGCACGCGATGTCGTAGTAGCCCCACATCAACGCCGCTGTTATCCACGCACGGCTCATTCCGACGTGTTTATGATCGTGCTCGTCAGCGAATACGAATCGGCCGCACACGGCGAGGTAATTTCGGACTTACGAGATAGAGGCACTGCGCAGGAGCCGTCCTCGCCGTGTGTCTATGTCCTTGCCTACGCCGGCTGCATCTCCAGGGCACGCAGCCGACATCCGCGGTGTCCGGGAGGGTGCAATGCCCGAATTTGCGCTCTTCCGTGATCGAGTGCCGGGGGTGACCTGGAAGGCGGTGGCGCATACTCGAGGCGACGCCGCAACGGCGGGAGTTGATGTATGTGAAAGTGGTGCCACCGCCGTATCCGCCCGTACGTGCGCACACTCGGGGTCGGCCTACATCGTCGCGCCGCGGCGTCCGTGTACACACCCGACCTGCGATGGGGGGCGGGTTCGAGAGCGCAGAGCGGCAGGGCGCGGTACGGACACCAGGCGGATGCTCTGACATGTCTCCGAGGCTGGTACCTGCGCGTGAACAAGCCTATCAGGGCATCACGGAGCGGCGAGTACGCACCGCAAACCCGCGAAAACGCGACAGCGTGTGCATCTTCCGCTAATGGACATGATGCAGCCGCACTTACGCCGTCCCTCCGAGATCTGACGGTTGTACAGACAATCTCCTTAGCGGACACCTAAGGGTAATTGTTTCAGACTTACAAACGAGCGGTGACGTGGGCGGTACACGCATCGTCCGAAGAGACGAGGACACCGCCGAGAAGTACAGCGGTACGCACCCAGTACTGTCTCCCTACTCGCGAGAACATACAGGGACCAGCGCCGCAGACGTACAAGCTGCACCGTTCGCACTTCGCGTACATGCTCGTTAGTCCGTAGAGACACCACCGACGTGCGCACTGGTCTCCAGGGCTGCTCCGGCTCTCAGCAAGTATCCTTGATCGCGTCCGGCCGCCGTGTCGACATGAGAAGCACATGCACGATCGCCATGTGCCCTGCACGCGACACCGCCCAGCGCCGCCGCTACACGCGCGCGCCGTCACCGCGAAACACACCGACCTAGCAGCAGTGCTCGTCAGCGGATTACTCAGAAATGCACGCGGGTTTGTTTCGCACTTACGAGAGAGCGGGGCTGTTCGGGCGCCGTCCTCGCCGCGTCTCCCAAGCTCGCGCCCATTTCGGCGCCGCCTAGGTCTCCACGACACCGCGCACTCGCGATGTGACCGACGTCCGCGCCGGCACCTGGGAGCGCGCAGGATGCGAGTGCGTACCGCTTGGCGGGGGCGTGCCGGCGCATCTGCGGTGCGTGGGCGAGATGACGACGCGCGTGAGTGCTTACGCACTCGGTACGCCGCAAAGGCCTGCATGTGCGCGGACGTGG